TCATAGGGGTTTTAATATATGTGTAAAACTTGGGCACTGTGGTAGTAAGTAATTCCATATTAGTTTGTTTGTTAGATATATCACACAGTGAAACAGTATTATTTACTGGATAACGTTTTGAACAAAATTTATTGTTCATAATCATATCAATATCACAATTGATATGATTATGAACAATAAATTTTGTTCAAAACGTTATCCAGTAAATAATACTGTTTCACTGTGTGATATATCTAACAAACAAACTAGTATGGAGTCATAGGGGTTTCCTCTTAACAATCCAGTACAATCTTACATGAGGTCATCTGTGTGCTCGAATAGCTAACTTTAATGTGTCTGACTGTAAAACGAGATGATTCGGATATAAATCTCGAAGGGGACATCAGTTTCTCTGATGAGGTGACGAGGGTGAAAATTAGCAAAAGTTGACAACAAATAAAATAAACCAAATCGAAGTCATTTTTAGGGCTAATTTTAGCACTTTTTGGTAAATTAATTAGCCAGTTTGTGATTGTTTTTACTAATTTATGATATTTGAAATGGACAGTCAGAAAATTTTATGATTTCGTGACGTATATTAGGATTTGCATCTATAATAGAAATTATAATCAAGCTGTTATAAATGAATGAGGTAGAGATAAATAATGGGAAATAATTCCCATTACTTCTGAATAAATTAAAATGAAAGAAGTAAAAAAATAATAATGATAAGTCAATAGACAAAAGGGAAGAGAATTAGTTAACGTGCAGGATAATATTTTTAAAGTCACTGAATGGTTGGTTATAGAAGATCTTTGTGAATACAGAATGCTGCCTTGATCAATCTTATTTCCATAATTTCAGCAGTACATGTGTAGAAGTGTGGTGATGCTATACAGACAGTGTGTTCAGATATGATGGAGAAGATTTGTAGCTCAGGTGGATAATTTCGATGTGGTTGCGTTCTTTGAGCTGGATAGTTAATTTGCGAAGCTTTCATTGCCCCCTACTAGGCAACATCTTCAGCGCATACTTCAATTCGATGAAGTGAGATTTTACATTTTTCCACGAGTTCATTAATCGTCTCTCCTGGTGGGTGACCTTGAACGTGATTGGTTGTTTTTGTGTGTTTTCATACTCTCTAGGCTACTTGTATTGGAACTCATTGTTTCCCTGACTTGAACTTTGATCCTTTGTGTGTGAGGTTTCCTTCTTATCGGTTGATAAATTTTGTCTATGTCGATGTGTCTATTGATTGATGATTCACTGGAATACCAGGCAGGCTTCTAAAAATTCTCTAGCATTCTTGGTGTTTCCTCTGTCTAATATTTGAACGCTGTCCCAGTCGAATTGATGTCCATGGTTGTCTGTGTGTAGTGATATGAGGGAGTGGATGTCATGTCTTTTGACGGCTAGCTTATGTTCGTGGATATGAAGACGAAGGGGACGTCCACTTTGACCAATGTAGTGTTTTTCGCAGTTGTTACAATTTATTTTGTAGATGATGTTGGTTTTATCTTCTTCCGTTGTTGAGTCTTTTGGTTGACATAGAACTGAGTGAAGTGATTTTGTTGGTTTGTGTACGACGTCGATTCCTAAAGGTTTGAAGAGTCTTGTAGTGATTTCTGAGGTGTCCTTTACAAATGGTAGAGCGATTTATTTGTACTTTCCTTGGGGGCTTTTGGTTTGATAGGTTGACTTGGAGGTATATGTCTTTTGATGAAATTCCGTGGATATCGATTCTTTTGGAAGATTTCCATGAAATATCTTTCTTCAATTTTCCTTGAGTTGGGAGTGCAATGTAACCACCATTCTAGGTAGCTCGCCATCACTGTGTACATTGATTTGATGATATTAGATAGTTGGAGGCAATCAGAAGGAAGCCACACCTGACCTACGTTTCGTGCTAGTTGGCACTCACTAGTCACTAAGGCGTATCTGCAGCCTTGAAGGAACTCATGTCGCTTCTGAGATTCAAACCCATATCACTCAGTGCTGCAGTCAGAAACGTTACAATTGAGCTATTCGGGCTCACGATTCAACTCCTGTTGGACTGGTATAATTTAGTTTGCACCAAAGAAAGGACTGGACACATCACACAAGCTACTAGCGTCCAATCAATGTATCCAATACAGTCCTACAGGAGGCCAGTTGCGAGCTCGAATAGCTGGCTCAGTGGTAACGTCTCTGACTGCAGCATTGGGTGACGCTGGTTCGAATCTCAAAAGGGATATGAGTTCCTTCAAGGCTGCAGATACGCCTTGTTGACTGACTGGTGAGTGCCAACTAGCATGAAACCTAGGTCAGGTATGGGTTCCTTCTGATTGCCTCCAACCATATAATATCATCAAAATATTAATGTTTCTTCTTAAAGAAATATCGTGTCTTTAAAATGAGTAAATTACAGTTCAGCGAACATGTGTAATTGACAATATGCATAAAAATGTAATCCTTAGTTGGATATCAGATAAATTTCAGAAAGAAATTCATTTGACAATTGAAGATAGTCAGAAAAAGATTGATGGCTAAGATAGGGAAAGCGTCTGAACAAACTTCGTCTGAACGTATAATTTCGGCTTCTTCATCAGGTAGATTCCGATGACTTCAGCTATATTGTAAAAGATAAACGTCATAAGGAATACCGTAGACAACCTTAAAGTCTTGTTAGCATTGATTTTATGTTCATTATCTACAAGCTGGTTCAGATACTCAGCTCCATACTGAAGATCAGAGAGACAGCTGCAAAAAGAATTAGAAATAAGTAACTCAGTCAGGCGTGCGTCGGTGGCACAGCGGTTAGGACGCTCACCGACCATGCACATGGTCCATGGTTCAATCACCAGCCGACGCACTCCTTTACCTTGCTAAGCCAGAAATAAAAGCTGGTAAAGAGGAAAGGTTGGCCGTGAGGCTAGCAACCCATCCTGTAAAAAATAAACACTGCCACAGAAACTTCAAGTTTCTAGCTTGAAGCCCTATGTTCCACTGGGAACGTGAAGGAATAAAAAAAACTCAGTCAGGCAAAGAACCAACCAAGGATCTGTTGTTCAACAAATCTGCAGAAGAAAGTGCACATATATTGGACACACACTGATGTGGTAGACCGCTGAGTGGGTAATAGCAATTTCAGCATGGGTGATATAGAGGATTTCGTATGCGGAGGAGATGAGAGTTTATGGTCAGTTGTGGAGCTAGCTGAATAAGACATTAGAAAACAGGATAAAATGAAGATGTGATGTTCAAGCTCTATATTCTGCATGAAACCTAAGGGTGTAATTAATTATAGGAGTGGTCGTGAGCTGACATCAGTCGGAGAACCATTGGAAGACCTGGGAGTACTAGACAACTGTTTCGTCCTGATTTGGTAATCTTTGCCAGTACGCACTCGTCGCATCGCCAGGGTTCGAACCCGGCACCTTCTGGTTAAGAGGAGAGCTTGCAGACCATTAGTCTACTGGGATCTGACCCAGTAGTCCACGAATTCCAACTTCTGTCAATTCACGCAACTGCCAGCAACTGTGATCTTGCCTGACTTGATGGACCCCATTGGTTACAACTTCTCACTAGTATTCTAGGTAACTTACTGGGCAAAGTTCAACAATAGTGTCCCAGGAGTGCGAACGCACGAGTGACCTTCAGCTGACCAATCATAAAAATGAGGAATGTTTGCTCAAAAAATGATGTATATTGACAAGAAAACGCTTGAAAACGCATTAAACAGGTTATCTTTCTCTGACATGGCTTAAAAATACGTCCTAGTTATAACGAGGAGTATCACTTACTAAGCTAGACTAGTTTCTGTACATGTATTCACCGAGATGACTACAGATAAACTGTCATCCTGCTTGCAGTATTCAAAAAAAGCCCTCGGTTGAATTGCTATGGTTTCCAGCAAGAGGATAGACGACTACTTACCAGGAAATTAAAATAAATGACATCAACTATAAGTCTATCCCTAATCGTAACCCTAACCTTAATCCTAATCATAATCATAACCCTTATCCAAATCGTAATTATAACCCTAATGCTAATTCTTACTCTGATCCTAACCCTAACATCAATACTTGCCTTAGCCCTAATCCTAACCCTAACAAGCTATTAACACTTTGTCCAAACAGTACTTAAACCTTGATCTGGGTGAAATTTGCTCCTAAGTTGGTGAATAGCGTCGATATTTCAGCTCTGATAGGGACAGATGCCGTTATCCAACGACTAGCACGCGTTCAAGGTCATTGGAGCGTTCATACTCCTGGGACGCTATTGTTGAACTTCACCAATTCCTGTATAGGGCCAGTCGGTAGTGAGAATTAGATTAATTGTCAAGTGTTGTTTTGCTTGATTGCCCACGGGCTGACGGACATCAGTTAGAGCACCATTGGAAAACCATCTGGGAGTACTGGACAATTGTTTCATCCTAGCGTGAGATAAAACAGATCTAGCAGCTAACAATGTGAAGTATTACATAAACCTAAAAAGTAGTTCTTCAATTATCGACTGAACAGTATGATCATAATGAAATAAAATGACTTAATTCTCTAATGACTTGATGTTTGACTTTTACATGTAAGCAAATGATAAAACGTGATTCCTAATCAATTGCTAGTTGAATCTGAAATAACGATGATGGGCGGGATGACTTAATCGCCTTAAGTTATTACATTACATTAATTAAATAATAATAATTATTAAAGTTTTAGTTATAATAACACGGCTGAACGAAACAATTGAAACAAAACAACTAACAATCAAGTTTTTATCTTGAATGTACAAGGTCATCATGATGATATTCGATTTAAGTATTAATTTTTTTTGCACATCTAAACAGAATGTGTGCACTCCTCTTGTCCATTTAAATTTACAAACAAATGACCTTGTTATAAAATACCGGAAGTGTGATAGATCTTGATGGTCAGTTAGGCAGTTAGACGAGTATTGCACGTAATTCACTCAACCACACATCCACCCCCTTTGCATCTACTTAACTCTTTATATATATATATATATATATATATATTGGTCATGTCTAATTTAAATTCCGTTATCGATTAGTTCATGTAGTTGAAAAAAATAGCATGGCTAAATCAATCAGTTAGCAAGTCAGTCAGCCTTATTGTGTATAATTCATTGTATGTATATATGTATGTTGATATATTTCTATGTGCATATATTTAGTGTGTGGTTAGCATCAAATAACGCGCGCGTAACATTCGCATTTCACTAACTTTAAAACATACCGAATATAGCTCATTGTCAATTTTGAAAATATTTTACATTATTATTATTTAGGAAATTTCATACAGTGAAATTCAAATAGAAAATTATGTCATCTAATAGAATTTCTGCTTGTCTTCTAATTTTCATATTCTATAATATTATTGATAGTGTTCTATCATTACAATGTTATCGATGTAATTCATTTACGGACAGTCAATGCTCTAGTGTTACAACTTCCAGTTTACGAGCACAAGTATGCCCACCACATTTACAAGCTTCATGTAAAACAATCATTCAGGTAATGTTAATGTTAATATCGATTTGAATGATTTAACTTGCTTTGTGGTTGCTATGTTTTGTTTGCTGAAAATATTTATATTGAGTTTTTTTTTTTTTGTTAGATGGGAAACCCCATATCTAGGTTTCGTACTTGTTGGCACTCATCAGTCAGCAAGGTGTGTTTAGAATCTTGGATGAATTCATGTCCCTTTTGGGATTCGAACCAGTGTCACTAAGTGCTCAAGTCAGAGACTTTACTGCTAAGCTATTTGGGCTAGTGATTGACCTCCTGTAGGACTATAATTGACATTTTCACTGGATACTAGGTGGTGACTTGTGTCATGCGTCTAGTCCCTGATGTATATGCAAATCGAATTCTATCAGTCAAGTTTATTTACTGATTTAATTATGACAACATAACTGACTTGCAATTAACAGTGTTCTCTGAGCTGGTTGGTTTAGTTGCGAAGCTTTCGTCGTCCTTCTGGACAACATCTTCAGCGCCATATTTAGCACAAAGTGAAATGATTTAAATTTCTTCATCAGTGATATAATTGCGTCCGTCTCCCGGTAACCATCTTTACATATGTATTGACCATTTTCTATTGACTTGGATTTTAAACTTTCTGATCACCTGATTTACTTTTTATTAGTTGGTATATTTCGTCTATATTAACGTGTTTGTTAATTGCATTTTCGTTTGAGTACCAGGCTTCTAGGAATTCCCTGCCACTTTTTGTGTTTCCTCTGTCTAAGATTTTGACATGATCCCAATCAAATTGATGTCCGTAATTGTCTATATGCATTGATACTAAAGAATACATATCATGTCTTTTCACGGCTGATTTATGTTCTTGGATTCTAATTCGAACGGGACGCCCACTTTGGCCGATGTAATGTCTGTTACAGTTCATACAATTTATTTTGTAAATGGTATTCATTTTATCCTCTTTTTCTGTTGGATCTTTTGGTTTGCATAATATCGAATGAAGTAAAATCGCTTAATTCGCCTCGTGACCAGAAGGTGCTGGGTTCGAACCCTGGCGGTGTATGTGTACTGCTGAATGGTCCCAAACTAGGCCGATGAAAGAGCTGGCTGCGCAGTACTCCCAGGTGGTTTTCCAATGGTTCTCTAACTGATGTCAGTCAGCTCATAATGAAATCCTCCAACCAATTAAACGGAAAAATCAACAAAAATTGACTTAAACCAGAGGACAACTTTAATAATCTTGTTTCTAGGTTGATCACAGATTCATGTCAGTTAGAGAACCATTGGAAACCATAAGGGAGTAATGGACAAACAGTTGTTTCGTCCTAGTTTGAGTGGGACTTATAGGCATACGCGCCCATTGGGTATGGATTATATTCGATTATATTACCAAGCATTCTATCAAGTATTATCCTTTTTACCTCTAAAACTCCATTTTGTTTATTTTATCAAACCTTTTATATTTTTTGTATATCATATCAGGTGAATTGACATGTAGGTAGGTGGATCAAACTGTTCAAAATGCATTGTTTAAATACATTGTAAAAATTTTAAGATAAACATCGATTACTGATAAAAATTACAAACTAATTTGTTATTGTTATGGGTTGTTTTTGGTACAGATTTATTATATACCAGGCTATAATCCACATTTATTATTTATGGGCTGCTCATATTCATCTACACAGTTATTCAGAGTGAAATAGGTGAATCAGGATTCGAACTCAGGACCCTCAGGCTTAAGTTCAGTCTCTAAATAGTAAGACTACTCCTGGTTGGTTGGTTGGTTAGTTAGTAGAATTGGATTATCAAGTACAGGGTTATGAGCTACACTCATTGTTTGAAGGTCGATAGTACTAATCAGTTGCCCAGGCTTGATTGAGTGAGAGGAGATTGGAAGCATGGACTTATTGGCTGAAAGTCAAGTGGAATACATCTCCACAACTAAAACTTCAAGGATACATTACTTACTTATGAATAACCACAGTCTACATCAGTATGAAATTCACTGTCTCAATTCGCATTAATTCGCAAGGAAACCTAGGATAGCTAAATGAAATAAGTTATTTAACAATTCATGAGCTTTAAGAAGAAGTAAGACTGAGATGGATACACTCTGTCATTCAAACTTTACAATTTATAAAACATTTTTCTCTATTCCTTCACGTCACCAGTGGAACACTTCAAGCTAGAGGCTTGAAGTTTCGTTAGCAGTGGTGTCTAATCTTACAGGATGAGGTCGCTAGCCAGCCTCATACCCAACCTTCCCTCTTTACCAGTCTTATTACTAGCTTAGCGAGGTAGAGGAGTGCGTCGGTGGCCGGGGATTGAACCCCGGACCACATGTGGCGTGGTATGCGAGCATTCTACCGCTGTGCCACAATTTATAAAATTGGTTATAAATAATTATTTTTATTATTTAACTGTCTCCACATGAACAGATAAATTTATATAAATGTACATTGAAGTGGCCAGACTCGATAGCTTATCCTTCACCTGAGTTGGAATTAAACAACAACGAATAACAAATTTACAAAACAATGTTGCGTCAAAGAATGTTTTAGCTATTATTTTTCGAAGTTTTAGTGCCAGCAATTCAGTTGCTTCGTCTCCTTTAAACGGTTAAGTCATGTATATGTTTCTTCTGCATAATCTGTAGGCATTTCTTTCCATCTGTTCTCCTCATCGGGACTTTAACATGTTTTCGGGGTATTAGTTCTCCTTCAATAAATCTTTTATTTTCATTATTTCATCGTCAAGAATGTCGGTTGTGCAGTTTTTGTAGCATGAAACATCAGCGTACTTACTGATGAGATTTCGTTTGAATGCAAGAGGAGCAAACGATCTGAAATTGGTGTATTGGCTAACCCATGACTTCTTCTGGAAAATAACCCGCTTAATACTGCCATCTTGCCTTCTTGTTAGTAGAACATCAAGATATGATAAGGTTTTGTCTTTCTCATTTTCATATGTGAGCTTAACCGAGTCCGGCCACTTCAGTGTGCATTTATAAATTTAACTGTCCATACCTATGTAGAATGACTCGGCTAGCCCACCATCGTCTTCTGGAACATTATCCAACGTGGTATTTTTTTATTATTTTCATATTTTTTTGAGTATATTAATTGATGATGGTTAAGCAGTGTAAAAAAGAAAGCATATTTCGTCATATTTGGGACTTATCAGCTAAATTTTATAATACCATTCTCTTTCTGATCATGCAATGATTTTCTCTTACACTCTTAGAAGTAATACTGACGTAGAATCTCTTGGCTTACAGACTTTTATGTTATTGATTGGTTATAAGTGTGGCGACTCAAACTTTGCACATAGGTGCAAAGTTCTATGTTGAAACCAGTCAGTCAGTCATAGGGGTGTATCCACAGTATCATACTTGTACTCCTAATTTCCAGCTTATTGCTGAGCCTGAATAGATCCGTGTTAACGTCTCTGAGTGCACAGACGGCTGACTCTAGTTTTAATTTCAGAAGGATCCTTAGTCCCTTTGAGTTTCTAGTTACTCCAATAAGCACAACACCTACGTCCAAAGCTGCCTACCGATTGCCTCCTACCACCACTTAATATGAGAGTTTGCTATCATCGGTAAAATTTAGATTTTTCCTCTTAGCACAGACTTGGAATGTTCAGTGTTGTGCATGAAAACATCAGTTTTACTGTGGAACACAAAGACTGTGGTGGGTTTAACTTAATCAAATATCTGTATGCAATACTAAATAAGACGGCTTGCTTGAAGTGACTACACATAGCTTATATACATGGATTAGTATCTATGTTTTTTTTTAGCATTAACATCTCAATGAGTTATAATCTAACATTGGTTGAGATGCAATTCCAAAGAAACACTGATATTTGAGAAGTGTATGAAAAAGAATATATGGCTTCTTCAAAGCTAGATTCTATTGATTCCTGTCATTTTAACTACCAAAGTTTAGTTGGGTTAGGCGTTAAGTGTATGGAAATGTTTTGAAACTACATCGACCTAAAAGATGCAAAGCCATAGGCTTCTTCACTGAGTAACGTTGTCTGTCATAAGTTTGGGCTAGAAACGAGTTAGGAGTGGTCAAACCGAAGCAGAAATCAGTATTTGACTGTTGATCTGAGCCATATCGAGAGATGTTTAACTAGGATCCTCAAGATATGGAAAACCATTGGCTAGTTTCTTTTGGTTTTTTTTTCCCTTCACGTTCCTCAGTGGAACATAGGGCTTCAAGCTAGTGGCTTGAAGTTTCTGTAGCAGTGTTTATTTTTACAGGATGGGGTTGCTAGCCTCATGCCCAACCTTCCCTCTTCACCAGCATTATTTCGGCCGGGGATCGAACTCCGGACCATGTGCATGGTCAGCGAGCGTCCTAACCGCTATGCCACCGACGCACAGTGTCTTTTGTTAATATGCCTGAACATCGTTCTCAGTAGCTTAGATCTGACCTCCCAGATTCATTAAATTCTCATCATACATCATATACTAATTCTTTCTCACATAAATTTCCATACATCATGCTTTCCTCATCTTTATTTTATTTTTTTCTGCCCTGTTGGATGTTTATATGAAGTACTGCTAATCGAATTGTCACATTTTTATGTGGACAATTTTCTACTCTGAAAATTCGGTTCAGTATGCTGATTAAACTAACCAATTTACTCTATCAGTAAATACGTTTCAGTGATCAGCACATTTGGGATTACTAGAGCTGACAATCAAAAACTGTGTAAATTCATTAATTAGTATTCAAGTATTGATTTCTAGGGATTTGATTGATTGGCTACAGGATTTCGTCAGCAGCTGACATCATCTGGAGAACCATTGGAGAACTAAAAAGGGATTACTGAACACCTGTACCGTCAGCCTAGTTTGAGACTCTTCAGCACTACGCACCCACCCCACTGACGAGGCGAGCTCGTAGACCACTGGGACCTGATTCCAACCCGGTCGCGCTGTCATGAATTGGAAGAGGTCGGAATTTATGGACTGGCCATTGGGTCTAGTTCTAGTGGCTCGGTGGTTTATGAGC